ATTTTGTTTTTGTCTTTAACATTTTTTTTATTATATTTACAATATTAGTCTTTGCAATATCAGTCAACATGATTCATTCACATCAAGTGCTTTTCAATTGCATTTGCCTTTTGATCACATAACGCTTTGTATTTCTGTGAAATATAACTTTTTTGTTCATGTGGGATTTCTGAATAGCTGGTTTGTATTTATAAGGAAATAAGGAATAATATATGATTCTGTGGTTTGAAACATTCACAATATATTCTGCAGCACCAAGTCAGAACTCAGACATGAATCTTTAAGCAGCTGTTTTTCTTTACATTTAAGTTGCTAACACGTTTCTAAATAAGAGGCCCTGTGAGGCACATGGTCTAAAACGTAGGAGTGCAGGGCAGGGAGTGTCTGAATCTACTTTTGCTAATTTAAAGACGGGACAAATGGCCGGCGCATGGTCTAAAAGGCTTGTCTTGATTCTCTTTATGAGTAATGGGTGAGTAATGTGCAAACTAATCAGAGTCTCATCTCCAATTCCCTTTAAAGGAGTAGTTCACTTTTAAAATAACTTTTGCTGAAAATGTACTCACCCCCATGTAATCCAAGATGTCCATGTTATTCATTCTTCAGTCGGAAAGAAATTAAGGTTTTTGATTAAAACATTCCAGGATATTTCGCCATATAATGCACTTTACTGGGTATCAAACAGTTCAAGGTCCAAGTTTTTTAAAAAGTGAACTACTCCTTTAAATGTTAAAATGCCAGTTGTGCTCGCCATGGCGCTACATGACAGCATTTGATGGTGGAAAGACTGAAGGCTTCTCCAGAAAGGAAACAGATCTGCTCATGCTGATGATATTTTTGTATGTACACAATAATATTTTACATTATAATCATTTTATTTTTAATAGTTGGCAAGTTTGTGTGCTTCTGCCTGTGTACGTGTGTTGTGTACCATCCTATAGGCGCATATTAGCCTAACAAGCTCGTTGAATGACAAAAAAAATATTGGGCCATTGATTTAAGACCAGGTTTCAGTTTGCCAATGGTTCAGTCTAAAATAGCAACGTGCCAACAGTTTCGGAAGTTTTACCTTAAACATATTTAAATATACGGGAAATCGCAATGGAAGACGATTTCGATATATCTTTAGTGAAAGGTAAAACACTTCCGAAATCTCCGTAAACAATGCGTGACGTGGACGCGCGAAAGATCACTTCCGGCGTAACGTTTGGAGACGGTTCAGGGTTCAGTTCATTTGATTCAGCAGTTCGACGGCTGTTAACAAGAGGTAAAAACTATATAAATACTGTTCGTTTTCTCACACAAACAGCTTGTTTCGTGTCTTAGGCCATCAATGTGTAACGTTACTTACATTAAAATCATGTTAAATTTTGACTTCTCTGTGCATGCTCTTTGAGGTGAACCGAAGGAGGACCCCCTTAACGTCCAGTGTATGACTGACAGACAACAACGGTTTGACCAAAAAATGTCAAAATTGAAAATGCTGTGGAAACAAAGACACCTACATCTTCGATGCCCTTGAGGTAAGATTAGATAAAACACACCAAAAATTTATTTTAAAGTGAACCATCCCTTTAAACTGGCTGTTACTACAACCTGAATGTTTTAAAGACAAAATACAAACATAAGGCAGAGATTTATTCACTTTTTACTTAAGCCTAAACCCGTCATCGAGGCACGTTCCTTCATTTAGTTTACTGTATAATACTATCTATGATAAAATATAAGACATCAGTCGAGTTACTTGTTAATAGCTCTTTTTAAGGAAGTAGCCTATCTGTACAGTCTGAACTACCAAAACTGTGCAAATGTTCTTTTTGCAATGCAATGCATCTAATTTTGTACTACTTCTTGTTCAGCCTATATTTCTGGGCTCAAAAAGGCCGCAAACGAACAGAAACATAAAAGTCAACAGAGGCGTGGAGCAACTTGAAAACAACTTTCTGAAAACATTCTGTTCATTAGGGAAATTATAAAAAAGGCTGTTGCCACCATGTCATACATTTCATTATGCTAAATCAATCATCACAACAAAAAAAAAAAAAATGATAAAGCTTTGTTTTGTGAGGCTTCACATAAAAAGCAACTTTGATTATTGTAAAAATGTCAATTCTGTCATGCAATGCTAGGGTCCAAACAACATTGGGCCACACTAACTTTCACTGTATGGAAATAAAATGTATTTATTCATGTTCCTGTGTTCCTCGGAAGAAAAGTAATACAGGACTGGAACGACATCAGGGTGATTAAATAACAGAATTTTTATTTTTGGGTTAACTATAACCTAAAAATAATAAAAACTTGTGTTGTAAACAGCAATGAAACACACAACTATGAATTTCTTTTGTCAGCAAATGCCAAGTTTATTCATTTTCAACTCAAAACCGACTAGCAATGATTGAATATTACATATATTACATATTTTGATCAGGCTGAATGGGAATTTACACAAGTAAAACTGACGGCAAAAGCTATTTTTCTTATAACTGAGTCAGTTTTCAGGAGTTTAAATTCATTGTCCCATGATGACCCGACAACTTCCTTAATTCTTTTTTAATCCTTTTAGCAACAGTTGCCGGGTTAGTGTTTCTCTGCAGTTCCTTTTTTGAAGAAAGGTATACACACAGATTGTTCATTCACGCCGTTTAGGGATTATGTATTAAAGTTTTATACATTCAAATACCAGTGTATCTTAAAACACATCTTATAAACCACAAAGAGGAGGTCTCTCTCATCCCTCTCCTCCTGTTTCCCTCCGTCAAACTGAGCTCCTCAATGTCAATGCAATCACTTATTGGGGCACTTTTAGATTCTGACATAAAAGGGGTTCATGCAAAATGATGTACATTCAAAACACAATAGATGCATGATATAAAAGCAGAAGAAATAATATTTTAAACTTTACATTGTGAATAAAATAATAGATATATATAAAGCAGAGATCATATACAACATTCAAACCAAAAAAAAAAAAATGATCTCATTAGTAAGCTATGAGTGAGTGGAGACCACTCCCTAACACAGAAATATAGGAGTTTCCCCACTTGGCTCAAAGCTGAGGCATTGAAATATGTGAATACGTCCTTGGGTCATGCTTTTAAAATTCCAGAAAGACGGACACACTCACTTCAACTTCAAAATTCTAAAATATATAGAAAAAAAAGTAGCCTTTGGATTACATTGAGATTTTATAGGTGTAAAAGCTATACAACAACTGACCTAAACTGACAATTTACGTGTATTTGTTAGTCTTAAAAAAAAGTCTTAAATTACACTCAAACCTTCACAATAAATCAATGAGCAGAAACATGAGTTCAGAATTCATTTGAAAAGCATTCAGGGCTCTTCAGTAAGAATCAGAAAGACTGTGCATAAAGGTTTTGCATTGTATGCCATAATTTTTTTTTTAGAGCTGTTTCCCCTGTCAATTTATGACCTCTATATTTAATTATTGCACTGTCTATTTACACTGAGTGCAAACCCAACTATTTTTCTAACTCCGCCCAGCACTGCTCAGTCTGCAACCCGATCACACTTAATGCACGCAGTGTGTTTATCGTGCAATTTATACACGAAAATGAGTTTTTACGCAAATGAACTACGTATTAAATGGATGAAATTTACCTTTAGTAGCCTACTTAACAGTGTATTACTACTATTCACACAATGTAATTTCCATTATTGAATTGCTATTTGTACTCGGTACAAACATTATATACACCTATTTGCACTCAGTGTAAATATAATTCATGTTTCATTTTACACATACACCCAGTCTACACCGGACACGTGTCGCATTAAAAACCCATTATAATCAATTCTAATGTTCAACCGGGCCAAGGATCACAAGGATTGGCTGGAACCCAGCACGAGTTAGAACGAACGGGTCGCACTTTACAATTCAGTCCATTCACAATCGCCTTCCCGGTAGAGGGACGTTCACATTCGCAATCGCCACGTATTACAAACTTCAAATGAAAAATGAACCAGTGTGACGTCATTTGATGTGATTTCAACACAGCTTGCCAAGTTTGTTCCAATTGGTAAACGCATGCGAAATAATATATTTGGTCTGTCGCCATTATGTTATAAGTAGGTGTGGTTCTGAGGCTCCGCCTTCTTTGACGCGGAAATCATTCATTTAATTAATTTCAGTCCGCGAGATTAAAAACATCCCCACACCAGAGTCACTTGATGGTAGAAATTGAACTTGTATTTCTACTTAAAACAGACAGACAGCTCTTCATGTGTAATACTGTACAGCTGCTGGATAAGAAGCTTCTTATAAACGTGACCAGACTTGACGCGAGTGTTGAATTGCAGAACTTGTGCAAACAAATCCACATTGCTATGGTCAGATGCTTTCTTAACTGCTGTTTTCTGTTTGTTTATTTTGTTAAGAAAGCACAGCACATATTTACATATTCATCTAAACATCGCCCTCAGCAGAGTTGTTGGATGGTTGCTAACAGTATAACGCGGTGCTTTACGTATTTTTTTTTACCCCTAAGCAAAGAATTTTTTTTAAAAAGTATATCAGCAATGTAAAAAAAAATATTGATGGTTTAACTTAAAAAAGTAAGTAACCTGGTTGCCTTAAAATTTTAAGTTCATTGAACTGGAAAAAGTGAGTTAATACAATGAAGGAGATTAATTTAACCACCAGAAACTCAAAATTATATGTTATCTGAACTAAATAAATTATTTAAGTTAATAAGCTATCCGATATCTAGTAGTTTGATGATCCCTACAGCATTCCTGTGACTTCTGCTCTCAGAATCATCACTGCATTTAAATACACACCTTTCCTTGGATCTTAAATGCTTGAAGATCCAAGAAGCAAGAGGGTAGTGTACCACCACAACCAAACGAGACAAATTAGCATTTTGCACAATTATTTTTTTGTGTGGGCGGAGCTTAGGTGGAGGCAGAACGATCCCTCTGGCCGCTTCCCTAACGTTAGTTTGCAAGTTTTGTTAGCTTGTTTTTTACAATAATTGAAGAAAATCCAATTTTACCTTGATGTGCAAGGTCACTCAGTGTCCAGGACTGTGATTGTTATTTGCAAAAGTTCATTTTAACGAATGGAACCAGATTGGCTGACCCGTACACGCTGTCGATGGAGGACTAATGCTGACGCTACCTCTGGTTGACTTCTAAACCTAACGTTGCCTGAGAGAGAAAAAGAGCGTAAAGAGAAACTGAGGGCATTTGTATATTGCAATATGCTGAATGGTCATGTACAAGACTTGTGTACGATCCGCAGTTCTGCCTAGCCAGCGCAAAGAAGATGATAATGTAAAGAGTGACATTACGGTGAATGTTTTCTAGAAATAAAACTTCCGGATACAGCATATTCATTTTTCACTGATTCTTGCACCCAACAACACAACGAGATTATATTTAATAATAATGATAATAATTTAAGCTCTTTATTACGGAGCCGAATCTGTGCTGGTTTGTATTAGCCGCCTCCAGTTTTCCCTTTGCCTCCAGCTAGCGCCGTGAATTAACTGTGACGTCGTCTCGAAATTGGTCTATTGCTTGCACCACACTGCATGCTTGCTTCTGGGAGTCACTTCAATATCAAGGAAGTGTCAGATGTCTATTTCCTCAAACGCAGATTAACATACAAATGCTAAAAATGACACGAAACACAGACCCAACTGATATATAATAACATTGTGGACAATCCAGTCTAAAAGTCTGATTTGGGAAAATGATAAGAAAAAAATCCCTGCAGTGTGAATACAATGTAGCAGAGGGTTGATTTATGAATGCATTAAAAGTTCAAAACTAGTCATTTTAAACAAACAATTTTCTATCATACAAAGCTTACTGCTTTGATAAAAATTTCTGTGGATTTGTTATGTTTTCTCCAGCAAACTCTGCAGACATTTTCACCGAAGAAGAGATGTTAATTTCTAGAAAGTAAAATATGCAAGAAGAATTTGTTTAGAGCAGCAAAAACAGGAACAATGAACTGAATAACATGCTGACCTTGGAAGAGCTAGATTTGATCTTGATCAAATTACTTGTACTGAAATTAAAGATGACATAGCATGAACTTCAATTAAACCTTAATATTTAAAACTCATAATCTTACCATCATTATTTGGTTTATGCCATTTCATTTGGCGGTTCTTTTCCTTCCGTACTGTTTAGTTTCAGATGCTCATCGACTATGAAATTACAAATATAAACAAAATGGAGTCAAGGACAGCTAATAACTAAGAGTTTAAAAAACACATCAGATTCAGAGAATGCAGATTAATGATATTATTTACTTTTTAGAAAACATGCAGTAGATTAGAATTGTAATTGACAAAGAGAACAAACCATTGTTAATATAACAAATACATTTTTTTTGTCCATCTATGTAAAGGACTACTGATGTAACTATTTCTCTATAACAATTTTTTTGATAATCTTACCAGTGTTTTCTGTGCTTTCTCCCTTGTTTCTACCTTGATCTTTAAACAAACAATAAACAATCAGCCATAAAATGAAATGAAACTCTCTTTTATATTATGCTGACAGTCCTAAAAAGTTGGAAGCAAACTGATACCTTGGTGCTCAACTAGCGTTAAACTACATGGATTCACTCCAGTTAGTAATGATTTATTAAAAACAATTTAAGAACAAACAATAATCACATAGATATTTTTAAAATGTTTGTATTAGAGATTGTATCAGTTTATTACATCTGAAAATGACTGCTAAAAATAAACCATATATATATTCATTAAATATAACAAAAATATTGGCCTAAATGCCAACTCAAACAAATTCATACATGCAACTATATGAAGATAAAAACACTTTAAGTTATATCTTTATTTTAAGTCCTCTGTCCTCACTGTACCGTGTTGCATCTGTGCTGTATCGATCTGATCCCATGACCCAATACTGTATCTCTGCATTGCTGACTAATATTTTTCTGATAGTTTGAGTGTTTTATATCCCTTAAATACAATCCGACTGCTTCACTCAAAACTCTGAGATTAGCAATTAATGATCTAATGGTTGTTTTATATCACTATTATAAACTCAACACATAGATTTAGGGCCAGATTTACAAACAGCTTCCTCAAGTGCTTTAAACTTTATATTGACATTAAAAAACTACAGTCAGGATCAGGATTTAATAAGGGGCTTTCACACCGAATAGTTAGGAATGAGTCGCCAGGGTGGTTCCCTGAGAACTAATGGTTCTCCCTTAGGAACGTTTTCCTGGTTGCATTCGCACCGCTGGTACACTCAAAAAAAATCCTGGGTTGTTTGAACCCAAATTTGGGTAAAATATGGACAAACCCAAATGTTGGGTTAAAATTGCATTAAAAATGTACAGTTGAAAGTGAAAGATGAAGTTGCGGCAAAATTTGAAATAACATTTTTTTAACATTTCTAACATTTGGGTTTGTCCATATTTTACCCAAATTTGGGTTCAAACAACCCAGCATTGTTTAGAGCGTAGGAAGTCAGAAGTGACGTGAGCCACGCTTCTTGTTGTGACTTATTTTGCCGGCGTCTGTCCAACAGTCCCGTCTAATACATTATTTATTAGATAGAACTGTCATAGAATTTAGACAGTAATGAAAAGTTATAAGCGTATGCTGCGTATGGTTGATGTCCAGTGTTGCTAGATGAGCAGAAATACATAATCACTTTGCTTGGTCTCCTCAAATTTGCATTGTATTTTCTCCTCAGCGTAAAGGTTAAGAGCTCCATCTATCAGTGTTTTACATGTTTTACGTGTTTTAAAAAATGGCAGGTGCTGGTGTTTCGTGAGCATTCGGCCAATCAGTGAACACTTACATCAGCGGTAGTGCCTACAGCACAGGTTTAGACCCGACTCTGGAGTACGAGCTCAATTAGATCCACCAAAAGTGTTACTAGAAGTAAAACCATTCCCAGGTCCTGTGGTGTGAACACGCAGTAGATCACGTGCAGAACTTTTCACGCCCATCGGCACTTTTACTATATTAAAGAGCTCTTATGCTAATTTGACCTGTTTAGTTCATCTGGCCTCTAAAATGCTTAAAACTTGAATAAACCTAAATAACATGTATGATTTCCTTTGAGGTATTGTTAAGGAAAACTTCACAGGGCAGATTGATATGAATAATATGTTAAATATACAAAACCTATTACTAACTTACTGCTCAAAATAACAAATAATCCATCAAAGAAAACAACAAACGTGATTCAACCCCCCTCTAATTAATTAAAATAATTACGGTGCTCAGGCATTTAAGAACATGTTTGCAATCTGATGTTATGAAATGACAAATAATTGTTTAAAGAAATTAAACGTACATCAAATTACCCATATCAAGTATTTTTTTATAGTATTTTCTAGCCTGGTATGGAATCATTTTTTTTATTCACACTCTGAATAAACTCACCTGCTTTGAGACATGGAAATATGCTCCCAACAAAGTCTGGTGTAAAAAAACAAATGTGATAACAACCTGATCAATCAGCAGACACAAAAAAAGTCTTTTTGAATGTACATTTTAGCCCTATTCGCACAGGATTAGTATTATCTGGTGACCTGCAGTAATTTGTAATAATTGCGGAGCTTGTCTGAGATCTTAATCCCGTGTGACTCGGCCATGTCTGTAATTTGTAAAGTAAAAATTCCCCCGCAAATTACCTACTATATTTCGCCGAACACCGAGGTCCTGTGATAAAATTAGTCCTGTGCGAATCGACATCTCTGTGATTTGGCCGGATCGTATATCATTTTTCAAGGTTTTTGTTTCATCTGTGTCTTTTTATCCATCTTTCGCGAAGAATAGAGGCTGAGTTGGAGTGTTTTGATAGTATTTTGGGTGCAGGGTCATATTTTCCGCACTATAATGTCTTTAATTTTCTCAAAAGACGACAGTGCGCTTTATAATCCGTAGCGATTTATACACACGAACAGACACACTGTCCCCGGCGCTCCTCGCGTTCATAAAGCGCTCCCCGTTCACAGTAACCGGGTCGTCTCATTCAAAACAGCCAGCTGTCAGCGAGCCGCAGCACATTGAATAGGCTACTCATAAGAGTCAGGCTGCGAATGTAAGTTACGTGCCAGCCCCAGCGCACTCACACTTACTAAATAAACGCCTCACCTCCGGCGCCGGACATTCCCTTTAGCCTTTAGCACATCTAGTGGATGCATAACGCAAACCCAGTCAAACGTTTGACTGCAGTATCTTATGCGCTTTATAATTCGGTATGCCCTATATATGAAAAAAATAGTTCTAAAATATAGGTCATTCATTGAAGGTGCGCCTTATAATCCGTTGCACCTTAAAGTGCGGAAAATACGGGTATAGGCTACAATTTGCAGAAAGAGAAAGCTGAAAACCATCAGAAGAGCAAAAAGAACGATTAAATGGAGAGGAATGACATGTTTAGCAGCATACGGTAAGGAAAATTCTTCTGTTTATTAGGCTATATACAACATAATAACGACAAGACATTTCAAAGCTATAGCCTAATGACATCATCAGGGATGTGATTTTTCCGGATTAATCCGGAATTCCGGATTTATTCATATCATTCACTGCTGTGTCGGCAGCCGGAGTGAAAAGGAGAGAATATGGCTGACGTGCGTACAGAAAGTTCCTTTAAAAGTATCAGCAAGGACGTATTTGCGTTCAGACGGAGAATGTCTAATTGGTTCAGCTTGTTCACCTGCTCAGTTTCGTATCTCAGTCGCTCTCGCGCTGGTATCGTTGTCAGTTGACAAGAGCATCACAGTTAGGTCACCAGGGCTGGGCGATTTATCGATATATTTCAAATTTGCGCTATGATCCTTGCTCCAAGCAAGCTGCTGACTGCTTTTGTAGAAATATGTAGCAGCTATATCGTGCATTCTGTCAGTTGCAGTCCTGACACCTCCGTCTCAACAGCATTAGTGTACGCGACAAATACTCGCAATATTAACGCAGAGGAACGGCGAGTTCACAAAAGTAAATTTGCATGTGCTTTAAAGCCTTGCCGGTTAAACATGTCATTCACTGCTGATGCGCTGTTCTGAGCGCGAACACCCGACGTGCACATGTACTAACAGCGCCTGGTTGCTGGACTAAGTTATCTTTCGAGTATTATTTCGCTAATACTCTCAAATACACACAAGGTTTACATAAGAACATTTGGTTATGTCTAAACTCAAAGCAAACCGAGAAAATTGAGAGAAATCTGCTTGTCAAATGCTCCGTGTATATTAGACGTGTCGCGTACAGGTCTTAAAGTGACAGTAGCCCTAATAATAAAAATGCAGCCGCTTGTTCTTAAAGGGATAGTTGACCCCAAAATAAAAATTCTGTCATTATTTATTTACTGTAATGTTGTTCCAAACCTGTATTAATTTATTTCTTGTGCTGAACAAAAAAAGAAGATATTTTGAAGAATATGGGTAACCAGACAGTTGCTGGTCCCCATTGACTTCTATAGGGAAAAATTTACTATGGAAATCACTGGGGTACATCAACTGTTTGGTTACCCACATTCTTCCAAATAACTTAAACAGAAGAAATAAACTTATTCAGGTTTAAAACAACATTTTTGGGAGAACTATCTATTTAATGTTAATTAAACAACAAAACACAGAGGAAATCACTCACTGCTCTTGACTGAGAAGTTTAATAGTAGCTTTAATAATAGTCAATGTATAATTTATACAGCGAAGATTATATTTGACTTTGATTGAACATTTACTCTCGCTTTGCGGAAAAGATATTGGGATATATATTGAGCGGGCGGGGAGGGTTCTCCGTATATTTTCCTGCTTTTTTGTCCGTAGCCAATCACATGCCTGCATCATATCGGTGGGATAAGACAGTAAATTTGAGTAAAATCACAGGCTTCGCTTATCCCGTGCGAATGCGCCGCATGAAATTCAGATGTGGGTGGGTAATTTCAAATTCACACGTGGTCCCCAGGTAATACTAATCCCGTGCGAATAGGGCTTTTGAAACAATAACATTTTTTTGCTAGCACTGAGCAAACGGCACACAGTAAAAAAGAGATTCCTAAGAATTGCATTGGTAAAACAGGGATACAATTAAAAACAAACACTTGCTGTTCTGTGTTCTATTTTGCTGCATTAACACCACGATTAGTGCAAAAACTATGCTTTATTCGTCTTTCGCAAAAAAAGCTTTATTTTTTTTTTTAACAATCATACTTCTATCTCATAAAAAAGCTTATAAGCAAAATACTTGAATTCTAAAAAAAAAAAAAAACAGAAAAGGAAACTTACTTTTAAATTTGTCGTTGAATTTATAGAGGGGGACACTGCCGATGACTAGGATGATTGGGATGACAATAACTGCTATCCACCAAGGTCCGCCCGTTGATTCAGCTGAAGAAACAGAACAGAATTAGCTTCAATTGCTGAATGAAAGATGTTACAGTTCTGTAATAAAGGCTACAGTTGGCACATTACATGACCTAACATATGTAACGTGCATAAATCCCATAATGTTTGTAATAGTATCAATCCAGTGCGTGATCGGAAGTTGTGATGAAGAAATGACAACCACGAGGTTTAGTGCTATTTTGACAGTGGGTAAGAGCAGGGCTGGGCATTGATACATCTTTAACAAAGGTTTAGAGGCTATTAAATTACATTGGAAACAGATTATGTACAGCACACGTACATTTTTCTCAAGGAAAAAATCTTGATTTGTATACAAACATTTAAATTAAGTTTTTATAATAATAACATTATAAACTAACTTTTTGATGATAGAATTACGTTTCTACGCCTGCAATTTATTGGATGCTACAAAATAACAGCGACTGAAAGATCTATTCTTGGTATTTAAAGAGCCCCTCTCATGGATTTTTGAAAATGACTGTTCATGTAGTGTTTAGTTTTTTTATATATATATATTTTGCTCAGTCTCTCCCGTGCACTTTCACTCGGTCTCTCTCGCACGCAGACAAACTCGGTCTCTCTCGCGCACTGGGGCTCGTGGACGCACGTGATCAGACTTTGATTGTCTTTGCAAAAAAAAATAAAAACCTTTGAAACGGAGCGTTCTGTGAACGGAACGACGCATTTTAAATATCGCTCGATCACGCGAATTTGATCATGGGAAGCAAAAATCAAATTCAAATGTGGATTCACAAGCCGGTTGTTCCTGAAGGAGGGCTCAGTACCCACTGTATAGACCATTTTACAAGATGTAAACAACACTGGTCCAGAAACACTTCCTGTTTCAGTTTGTAACTGTTTTCTTTATTTCACATGTAACGGAAACATCTCAAAGATGTTTGTTTAACTTTTTGATTCAGTTTTACATGTTCTGTTGTAGGGCTGTCGCGGTAACCGCAATATTGTAGTACCGCGCTTCTGACAAGTCAACCGCAGAGGATTGCACGTAACCGCAGCAACCGCGATATTCACGTTTTTATTTTTATAAGGCTATACCCTTCTTGTTTTGAACTTAATGCATGTGTATTGAATGTTAAACAAGTTCATAATGATAACAAGACTGTTTATCATGGTGATGTGTAGCCTACAGGCTTCACACAGACAGTGAATGAGAGAGATCTGCAGAGCGCGTGCGATTACTGCGTCTGTCTTTGAAGTCGTGAAAAGCTTGTCGTGTCAAAGGGAAGTGAAATATTCGTCACATCATCATTAACGTTCTCTTCACGGGTATTTTCCCATAAATGCGTGTCAGAGGCACCGCTGGTCAGCATCACACAGCACAAGGAAGCCGCGGTGAAATAAAATCAGTGAGTCACGCATTAAATCAATGCTATATTGGTCTCTAATAAGTGAAGCATCAGCTTTAGCGTTGCCCATGCGACGCATTGCTGCTCAGCTGAGCCTTGAAAAGTTGAACCTCAAAGTTAAAAATAATTAGCCTAACATATTGTTTCTTTACATATCTTGTTTTAATGAATCAGCTTTTTTTAAACGTGTTCGTTGAATGAACGGTTCAATGACTCGCTCAAAGTCCGTTGTCATAACAATATGCACGCTGAGTGAAAGTCTTTCAATGCGCATACTGTAGACGCTGTTTAGTTTCGGTTACATTGGTTACTGAAAATGTCCTCGTTTTTGTCCACATCGTAAACTTTATTTATATAGCAACAAATACATAAATTAAATAAATAAATAAATGGCGGTAATACCGCATATCGCGCTATTGAGCCACTCAACATTACCGCAAGGGAAATTCCATAACCGCGACAGCCCTATTCTGTTGGTTGTATTTTATCCCAGCTTTTATGTAGTGTTAAAAAACTGAAACCGGAAGTGCTTCTGGACCAGTGTTGTTTACATCTTGCAAAATGGTCTATCCTCCTCCGAATCACAATCTGTAAGTATTAGTAATAATGTTTGCTGTTATGTTTTCAGTAGCATGCGCAATATGACTAAAACTATTGATGCAAATTTGTCTGTCGTTCTTACGAGTATAGAGACAAGGAAGGAGCAAGATTTATTTTACAAACGCTGTTACATAAATCATTCACGTTATGGCTGGGCAAAAATATGCACCGTTATTGAAACAGTTCTCACATGTTCCCCGCAATTAATTAGAAATATGCACATGGGTTTGTTGGACATACTCATGTTAATGCTGATGGTGAGGAATTACAGGTAAGTGAGGATAGGAGCAGGCTTTACTCAATGTATACACTAAAACACTTTAGTCAGTGCTGGCATGGACGATTAGAATACGAAAATGAGGAGATGCCACACTATGCGTAAGTTCTTTTCATTTTTATTTTAATTTGCACAGACGCATTAGCCTTCTACAGCGTGCAACAAGATCACAATGTAGCCAATCTTAGATGCCCACACCCATATTAACACCAACTACTAGTGTTAAAGTGATATCCAGTCCAATAATGTCACTAATGTTTAGGGCTGGGGCAAAATATTCGAATCTTCGTTCGGTGGGTTGGTATTCGATTTGAAAATGTAACATTCGAACAATCAGGGTTTTTATTTTTGGTTTTGTCTTGCACACCTGGCATCCCACTCGAAACGGTTCTCATTCACGCCTGAATATGTTTTACAGGATAAAATCTGCTGAAATATAATACTTAACATACAACCTCGTTATAGCTACTACTTAATAAATATATTTGCTTCTTCTTGGACTACTAAAAGTGTTCCTGCAAGGGGAGTATTATCCGGCTAGAGCGCAGAACAGCGGAGTTTATATGGACAGAAGTGCATGCCTGCGCTTGTATTTTGGGTTAAGCTGCATTACTTTGACATTGTGGAAAATAGAATAATAGAAACAAAATGTATTATCCTTTTTACCCATTATTATTTGCATAGAGTGGCTTTAATGAGAGACAACGACAGTTATACAGAAGTTAGAAAATCACTGTCTTACCTTGAAACAGATTTTTCTTATGGACCGGATCGCTGGTCTCTTCACTCACTGCGTTCTTGAGTTTGCAGGTGTAGGAATTTTCTGGATTTCCTTGATTTTTCTGTACTGTAATGGACTCTTTATTTGATTGGTATGCCAGATCTTCTCCAGCAGAATTACTCCAGGTAATAGTTCCATCGTAATTCTTGCAGGATAAATACACAACTTCAGCATTTACCTCCTCCATTTCTATAACAGGTTTGGGGACCCGATCTGTGAAAAAACAATGAAAAATGCATGCTAACTCTAAAACACATGTAATTTGATCATACAACTAATACATGATAGTACCTTTTTTCAGTGTGATAGATATTATGTTATAAATTTAAACAGACATAAAAATAAATACTGATATAAAATATGGAACAGGCTGAGGATCACTATTTATACAAATAAACAAAAAAATCATTATAATAAAGTAACGTATTTCAATAATCAACATCAACTCACTCATAACAGTCAAGGTGAATCTTTTTTGTGTCTGCTCTTTACCGCTGACGTCAATGGTATAATCTCCAGAATGTTCAAATCTTAGATTAGTAATATTGATTTGTCCAGTCACTATATTAAGAGTTGTGATGTCTTTGAATCTCGGATTCGGGATTGTAATTCCTTCTCCGTCTTCCCATTCAATCGCTTTAACAGTTGATCCGGGTGTTACGTGTTTCCATGTGATGCTGGTGACAGGAGAACCAATGTTGTCTAGTTTAAAAGAAACTTGATCACCCACTGCTTTCTTCACCTCTTCACCTAATAATCAAAAAATGAGAGAGTATGTTAGTCAACATTCAACAAACAGTGACAGAAAAATAAAAATGAATGAGATCATAATACAAATAACGTAAAAGATTTACATTTAGACCTATTGCACTTTGCTTTACTAATTTTCAACCCAAGTAGTAACTCAATTTAATGTTGCATAATGATATCTATTTTTGGTTTCCTTTTAGCCCATTTCTGTTTTTGAATATAGCCTATTATTCCACATAATCAAACAAAGATTAACAATAAAGGCCACATTTGGAGGTAATCTTTGTCTATTTAAATAAAAAAGTACATATTTCTTTCGGAAAAATAAACTTTCATGGCTAAGCGTTTATAAAACATCGATCCAAAACATTCTGCTACAGTTAAAAATAAGAGAATTTTCTTTCTCAGTCCCCCAAAAAATCACAATTAACATCTACATCAGTACAAAACTTAAAAAAAGTGTTTTAACAGGGTACACTTAGTATTTTAAAATCTACTAATTCCACCTTATTTTTCATGCAATATCTTTCAGGCAACCATGCATATTTCCACTCATATTTAGATTGCATACGTTTTAGAAGATATTGGACCTTTATTCAATATACTATCAGTGATAATAACAATAATAACATAATAATAAATCCTTTAATTGCAACATCAGGTCTAAGACTCACACTCTCCGTATTCACATTTCCTTTAAACAAACATTTTAAACCGGATGGTATTGCATCAAACACTATACAATATTCTTTACGCTTTATTGGAATATTATACATTTGAACAAATTCTACGTTGAGATACAGGGAGGGAACCATTTTTATTTAATAAATAACTGTTTAACAATACCATCTAAAAACAGTTTGTCTAAATGTTATATGCCTGTTATTACACATTATTATACAATTGTTTGGAGAAAAATTATTTACAGATAAGTATCGAAGAGAGTAGCACCTGTCTGTGAAAAGTACTTAATCTAACTTGAATCTTAATTATTTCAAAGTTGGATTGTAAGAGGAAAGCACCCCAGCACCCCACCCATTTTCTCTAAGATAGAAGAAGAAGTTTCGGTCACTCGCCAGTTTCCGGTGATCACTTCACGTCAAGAAACAAAAAATAAAATAATGTATGGGCATAGTATGGCATCGAAATATGTAATATAGATAAAATACATGATAGGAACACAATGTATACATGTAATTATGATCGTTTATTAAAAATGTTAGCCTCTTAACTACACGCCTTTTGTATGGGTGTAACTTAGGCCTTAGCCTGTGGCTAATAAATAAAATAATAACGTAAACAAAATTAGGCCGCGCCGTGAACTTGGTTATCTAAAATACATCTCAATCATTTGGCCTTTGTAAATGGGCCAACGATATTATAATATATTTTCCAACAAAACGGCTTTTAAGAGGCCAAGGACGTTTTTTGTTGGCTATCACAATGCTAACGAATGCTAACGGTCGCATCGCGTAACGTTAACTTACCCGAAACGGCTCGTGAGGCGATCAACACAGCGTAGATGACGACCAGCAAGTATCTATGAAGTGACATCTTGAGAGTACACTTTAATGCCCTGACAGCTATATTTCAGGCATAAAGTATCCACGGTACCGCCGCCCGAGACGCCAGGGAAGAATGGCCTGAGCATGAGGAAGAGCACTAACGAAACCGAAAGTAATGGGCGTTCACTAGATGCTTCGCGGTTTATGTCGACATCTAGTGGCCCTATGCAACACTAGTTACTAACCATAGCCTACTTTTTATTTATTTTTTTATTTAACTGGATTCATTGATGAATAAACAGTTTGAAAGAACAGCAGTTATTTAAAATAGAAATCTTTTCTAACAATACAAATATTTACTATATGTTATATGTTGTTACTATATGTCAAAAAAGAAAAAGAAAAATTGCCAACGCCAAACTTTTAAACAGTGGTGTATATTGTTAGAAAAAAAATTTCAACTGTTCTTTTTTTATTTATTTATTTACTTTTTATTCATCAAAGAATACTGAAAAGTTGTCATGTTCTAAAAAAAAAATATTAAGCAGCACAACTGTTTCCAACATTAATAATAATAATTTAGTATATTAGAGTGATTTCTGAAGGATCATGTGACACTGAAGACTGGAGTAAGGATGCTGAAAATTCATCTTTCTCTCAGGTTATAAAATACATTTAATTTTTGTTTTTATACATTTCAGTTTTTATTGTATTTTTTGATCAAATTAATGAAGAGGCTTCTTCAAAAACATAAAAAATAGTAATGTTTGCAAACTTTTGACCAGCACAAGTATCTATTCTTATTTTATCGCAATGTAACAATCCCATATCAGACAAAAGCAGGAACAAAACGGAACAAGAACAAAACATTTACGACATGAAAGATCTCTTCAAAAAATAAGTACATTTTTTATTATTAATTAAACTTAGTGATTTGATTAAATGTTCTACGTCACATGAGAACTCTTTAAAAGTATTTCTATTTGTTTTTGTTCATGTGAATAAGTCAGCATTTATAGTGACTTGTTGCGGTTTTCAAAATAATAATGATAACATCCTTAATGCTAAAAAACTAAAATTAATATTAGCTTTAGAAATACAATAGAATCTCAAATCATTCTAGAAAAATGATGAACCAACAAGAAAAAATAAATAACAAATGCCTTCTTTCATTTTTACAGAAGGTTTATATACGTATCAGTTTCATCAATAAAGGTGAATTGCAAATGTAGATTTTATGCAGAATTTCAGTTTGCACTTTTCTACTTTTATTGGGTATGCAATATTTGTATGGTAATAATCTAGTTTTCCTCCGCTGAATGTCATCTACTTTAGTCATTTAGTTTCGAGACTGAGAAAGTTGACGAATACATTAATTATAACATTAACTGAGAACAGCCAAGGGAGGCTTTCATCAAAAACAAAGGAATAGAATTTAACAGAATTAAATTACAGTATTTATGTATATTGGTATAAATATTGATATACATTCATAAAACTTTTATATGACAAAATATCACAATAGCAGCCACAAAAGTTACGTTTTTATTAAGCATTTATCATTTTTTTATCCATTTCTAATTTTAATATTAGATTTATTCAATAAGATGTTCACGTGTCCCTCAATGTGCTGCCTAAGAACTGTTGACACTGTACAAATTGAAAATATAGATTATTATTTATGACAATAAAGGTAAACAATTGGAGTTAGAAAAGGAGTACAGCCATAACAATAACAACACGTCAGGGATAAAAAAGAAGTTCATATTTTATGTAAGTTCTTATAAAGATTCTCATCTTGTCACTTTGAAAACTGTGTATTTGCATATACAGCAGATTCATATGTGAATGAGTGAATAAGATGGCATGCAGTCCTAAGAACCTGTTAGTGGAAAGCATGTCCTCATGACGGGAAATAGACCATTAAAACAGGAGAAAACACAGCGATACTACAGATCATCCATACATATAATGTACAAAAACATTCACTGTATAGATTCACACATTATCTTGGTATCTAAATGCAAAATTCATCACTTATTCTCCAAGCCAAAAGATAAATAAGCAGAAAGTTTTGTAAAGAGATTCTCATCTGAACTGTTTGTTACAGCAGATTCATATAATCATAACCTGAGGATGAATTTCCAACTGTGTCTGTGCCTGACCAAGCAGACAGAAAGGTCAAAGAGCAACAGTCAAAGTTGCTCATGTATAATATCGTAAAGCTGGGATTTAGAGCCGATGACCAAATGTGTTTAGAAGATCTGTGCGTTTGAAGAGTCACGAGGTTCATGATGAGCATCAGTCATTCATTCCTGAGGGGAAAAATGCTCACTTTAGTGTATATTTTAACACTTCAGATCTATTTAATTTGTAATATTGCTTCTTAATATTAAGAAGTAAACTTACACTTTTGTCTCCCTCCACGAGCAGCACAAGAATCTTGAATAACAACAGCGACACGATCAGTCAAAAACAGTCAATATGAAACATAATCAAACTCTATTAATACACATTATCAGTGAACAATTCATGAGTGCATCCTATTCTAAAAATGCTTATCATCACAATCTTTCATCTTGCTTTTCTTCAACGTTAACCTGTAGCAAAATTGGGTCCATTCTAGATTTTTTTTTTTTGTCAAACAATAAAATCAACGAGTAAATGTATATATTTTTTCAGCATATCTGATTTTGCACAGAAATATGACATATTACGGAAGTAAAACAAGTTGGAAGTTGTTTGAATGTTTGTTTTGAGTTTTAAGCAAATGATAAGCACATATATATGTTGCAAATGGTTTTAAAATATTAAACACAATATTCTTACCGTATAAAGGGGGTATAAACAGGAAAAGAAGGATAAAAACCAAGCAGATCAAAACTATGGAAATCCAAACGAAAAACTCCCCGTTTAAACCTAGTTCTAAAAAAAACATATATTGGGCTTATAAAACAAGTTCAACATTTAAATGATCAGAATTAAATTTTTACTAATTAACTGTGATATATGCAGTGTGAGAACAGAGAATACAGAGGAAGTTTGAAACCAGAAACCAAACAAACAGCATTAATGTGTTGGTCTTTCACTCAGCAACATTTACTGATGAAATCTTGTTCATTGCAAATGTTTGATATCAGTGTTGAGTCCTGCAAGAATATCAATCATGACCATAATGCATGAAAAATGACCACGGAAGATAATGGCAATGTCCCATGCAGAGCAGTGGTAAAACGTGAGGAAATGCTAGATTTTTTTTTATATAGCTGGCAAAGTTAACCCTCTGGGGACCAAAAACGCGCCCCGCGTTTTTATCGGGGGTTTTCTTTTCACATAGCTGCAACATAGACTTAAAGGGTAACTAACCCCTAAACCAACTTTTTTTCGTTAATGATCAGTAATAATGGGGCTTTATTAGTGCTGATCATTGATTCGAGTAACTTTTTTGACATTTGGGTATAAAATGTTTTATTTCTACAATATATGGTGTAAAAA